AGTCTCGTACAAAACGCTCGTTCTGGAGACTTCCGCGGCTCACTTTTGGAGGAAGTCTCGTACGAAACACTCATTTTCACTAGCAAATACTACCTTCGAAGCACTACCGAATGATGCAGGTTCCAAAATGAGCCGCGAAATTGGTCTCACGCTGCAGTCCCGGTGAGTTTTCTTTTCGTTTGGGTTCCAAAATGAGCCAGGTTCCAAAATGAGCCGTTTCTAGGTTCCAAAATGAGCCGTGTACCGTTTTGTTAAGAATCAGGAGAAACTTTGCCTTGCTTCCTACATGGACTCCGAAACGCCATCTTTCGCCACCGAAAGCCGCCTTCACCGATGCTCCGATGTATACCGGGCGACCCCGACCGGTGAACGCCTGGCGGCGCCCGGCAGGACACCGCGGTGACTCCGGATCAGATCTCCGGGACTGCGATGGCAACGGCGTCGGGCGTTCAAACGGCGTCGGTGAGAGGCGTCGTGATTCGAAAGCTGCGGGCGGTTTTCTCCGCAGCTTTCGTTGGCCATTTGAGGGTTTTGCTGATTCGCTTGGTGAGTTGAAAGGTTTGTTGAAGATGAATGAGATTCTTGGCTTGTACCCTGTATGCATTTGTGTACCCTGTCCTTCAGCCTTCAAAAGCATCTTCAGTCGAAGTTACGGTACCTCAGGCTTCTGGGTGGCAGTATGTGGTGCCTTCACAGTACAAAGCATGTTGTCATATTTGTGGAGTGGGATTTCATGAGTTGAGTCACAGCCTTTGAGTCCACAAACTTCGAGCTTGGAGATGTTTCATGATACAGCAATGATGCAGGACTTGGAAAGTGAGGCGCAATGACAAGATGGAGTGGAACTATGACCTTAAGTCCGCCCCGACGCATGAACACTGCACCTTGAATCACCTTGGTTTGTGCTGGACTTTATTGTCAGAACATGTCAGAAGTTTCGTTGGTGGACATTTGCTCGAAAACAACTGGACTTGTCCTTCACGCTGGCCGAATGTGCTTCAATTTGCTCCAAGCATTTTAGCAGCATCCCGTCAGAGCAACTATACATTTTTGCAGATCGGAGTCTATGGAGCTGTCAAGAAAGAGAACAACATGAGCGATTCAGGAAGAAGTCTAGTTGGATGAAGATCTTGTGAATTCTTCAGAAGCTAGTAGTTTGGAGGCCATCACTCTTAGGGGTGCTTTCTTTCAGACATTACGAGACCATCTGATTTCCGGAGGCAGAGCGCCATGGCGGCCATGGCCTCCCTGGAGCTGGTGCCCGAGGAGCGGAGGCGCGGATGGTCATGCTGGGCAACGCGGCAAGGCCACATGACCTTTATATTCATGTATACATACATAACATTTGTATATATATATATAGTATTCTTGCCTTATATTATTATACTATATTGTATTATAAGTGTATATATATATATATTGACGCACATATACTGATGTTCTTCATATCATATCATGTCATATCCATGTTTTCTGTGTTCATCCTGGTTTGGTTTATCCTAAAATGTGCCAGGGTCGACGTCTTCATCAAGGAGGACACACCGCCCAGAACCGCCCAGCAATGTTCACCGCGAGGTGAGAAGTCGGCGCCAAAATGCCCAACGGTTTGATCTCGTGGTGCAATGGTTAGGTCAGAAACTTGTCGCCCCAAAGCATCAAGGTGTTCACTGTGTTTGCCTTATTCGCAAGCGTGCCTTGCATGAATTTGTTTCAGTTTCATAAAAAAATAATTGCACGGCTAGTGACTAGCCACTAACAAGGTCTGAGGAGCAGTTCGCCACTGAAAGATGCATGATATGGAGTCAACATGCTACAGAACACGTTTGCAAGCTGAAACAGATACGTGAATAGTAAGTATATTGAGAATTGACTTGGCGAAAATATGTTCAGGTGTAAAGAACATCTGATGAACTTCTTTCAGGTGTAACTCATTGTAACTCTGTGTGATTGCCGAATCTCTGACAACGAGCGTTGGTCGCAAAGTGGCCGCAACGACAGGCAGCGTGGGGTGAACCATCAGAGCCGAAACCGTTTCTGCGAGGACCTTTGCGAGGCCTGCGCAAACCACGAAGTTTGTCACCTTCGCAAACGTGTCTCCGTGACGCGCTGCAGTTTCACAGCATGCACTGCATGGTTTCGCTATGTTTTGCAAAATAGATTCTGTTCTCATGCTTGATGCTATAAGGTTGGAGGCCATCGCTCTTAGGTTGGAGGCTATCTCTTTGGTGATGTGCCAGCTTGCCGACCGTCCAATGTGTTTTCACCTACTGCAGTCAGCCAGTGGTGGATTGAGGCGGGAAGGCTGGAAACAGCTCTAGTGACAATCTCGCTGAACACGAAGATGTTATCTCATTTGAACAAAGACAGGCTGAGACCCCATCTCCAAAGGAAACTGAACCGAACTGAAACTGAACTCAAATAGACCCAGTTAGGTGGCCAATCGCATAGAGATTACATTGAGACATGTGAACTCCTCAAGCTTGTTGTTGCATTTCTTTTATGAGAAAAACGAGAAAGTTACTTGAATCAGAAATACAAAAAAACAGCTTCAATGCGACTAGCTTTCAGGAATACGGAACAATTGAAACGTGAACAGCAATGTCGTGTTTTGTTGTATTGATTATTGTTGTGTTTATTGTTTCATATGTCCTTTCATTTAAATATGTAAAAAGACATAAATACTGGTTTCATGTGCAACTGTTTTCAGTAAGGTGGGTCTGGAACAGGTGTGTAACTTAGTCAGATGTGATCCACTGTAGTCCACGCAAGGAACGCTAAGTAACCAAGCATGCTTAGGTCTAAGATTGCCATGTACGTTTCTTTCAATGGTGGCTCACTTGTAGGGTTTCACACTATACATATCCATCGGCCTTTCATCTTCACGATCCAACGACGCTCGCAGAGTGGGCAGATGAACTTGGCAAGTTCAGTCATAGAAAAGCCTGTTTGGACACCTGTGTAAGTATGTGTGTGTGTTGTGTCCATGGTGCTGGCCTTTTTTAGTGTATATTCTCGTCCAGACCGGCGACGCGGATGGCATTCAATTGGCACTAGGGGAAGGATGCTATGAATGCAATCCAACACCTCTTTGCACAATTCGAAGAGCAAAAGGAGAGTGCTTGAGATTGGTTTGCCACGATATTTCAATCCTTTCATTTGTTGTGGTTATCTTGGTTATCTATATAACTAGGAACAAGCTTCGCTACGTTCGGGGCGAGCTCCTGGCCTTACTACTATTAGGAGCGTAACCGGACGCTACGAGTTCCGGGGCGTCAGCTGGGCTCCTTGGCCTTCGTCCCTTCACTCCGTTGCTGTTTTCGTAGCACGCGAAGCGACATAGCGAGCTTGCACCCTTTGGTCGTTTAGCGCTTGAAAAAGCCATGCTGATGTTGCATGTTCATGCAGCGACCGTATGTAGATCTGACAACAGCGGTTTTTCCATCCCCTCGCAGGTTCGTTGCGCAAGAGTGGAGTCATGAAGGAACCTTGCAAGCGATGGTAGAGAAGGCTGAGAAGGCCCAGGGCCCACGCTGTGGGAAGCTCGTGCTGTGGGGATGGCTAATCCCTTTTCACAAGGATGCTGCTGCTTCTGAAAGGTCCTTGGTTTTGGTGACTGCTACACCTACCTATAAAAAACCTTTTTACCAACGGCCTGAAGATTTGGTCAGTTGAGAGTTCAGTCGAGATATTTTGTTTCTTAAGGTTAACAAAGTTTTAGATCAACTGAGCAGCGTTCTAAATTCACCCTTCCTTTTTTAGTCAGGGACCGGCGAAAAATCAGTGAACAAAATTGAACATAGTGATTTTAGCTGATGTTTGTAAGGTGTCCGCAAGGTTTGCCTTAAGGATGTGCAGACTTGAACGATGCCGTAAGGCTACCGGAAGCAAAACTTGTTTATGTTGATTATGTTTCCTTTCTTGTTTTGCAACAACAAATCATATGTGACCGTGGTGGACTTGCATACCTTCGCCGTAAGCACAACGTAAGAATAGCCATGCATACATGTGTCACCGTAAGCAAAACATAGAAAAACGTAAGAATGCTTTCTTTGAGGCTATACGTTGGGAATGTCCATACCCTGCGCACTTTTAAAAAGAACCAACGGCATCTCCAACAGCCAGGAGAAGGCCGAAAAAGAGGCAGCCGCGAGAGAAGCAAAGACAATGACAAAAGAGGTGCAATGCTACAAGCAAGACCGAAATCCAGCTAACATTAAAAAGTTTGACTACAAGTTCAATCCGTTCTGCGTTCACTTCAAGAATTTATAAACATCACAGCCATGCTAACTGTCAGCGGTATCTACCAGTTTCTATAATTTTTTAACTGCTCTTCGGAGTCCTTTTCGAGGAAAATGAAGATGGACATGCTAGCTATGACTGGCTATTGATGCTAACACAGTTTTTCATGCCAACACCACGTCCGAGCAACGTTTGCAGTCACCTGTTTCACGCCTTTGAGGAGCCCAAGAAAGACGACGACAAGGAAGCTGAGAAGAAATAGGAGCTTTTCAACCACTGATGAGTGGTTGTTCGGAGCCACAGTCAAACATGACAGTTGCACCGGTTTATGATAGTTGTTTGGTCCACGACCTCCACCAGAGGACGTCTTTATCACAATGGACCAAGAAACCAAAGCATTCTTGTTTGGATCAAGCCAGTATTGATTCAAAGAGTAGGGCAAGTTGTGTGCATCAAAACTGTACTTCAGAAACTCATGTGCCTAAGAATTTTTCTCACAGTTTCTGCTATTGCAGACACGTTATTTTTTAAGCGGACTAGCTTGTTTTGTGCGAAGCCTGATTGCTGGCCCTCTCCAGGATGGAAAGAGACGGGTGAAAAGGCCTCCAGAGGAGGATGTTGGGCCGCAATTAGCCTCGGTGTCCAGAGCGAAATATGTTGTCGATCAGGACAACATGAAGACGTAAAACCGAACAACTCGCAGGAGAAGAAGCCTCCTGAAGTGTTGTTGGGACCTTTCTGCGTGGCACCTGAAGTTTTGGGCCACGCCATGCTCTGACACCCTATGTGGCTGTAGATTTCACCTGAGCCATCTACAAAGAGTGGATGGTGGACTTTGTGCAGGAAAGGAACGGATGGCGCAATGGGGTGTGAATGGCCGCGACATAGACTGTTGGAGTGTAATTATTTCTTTGTAACGAGTGGATGTTCGTTGGCTAGTCACCAGTCTCGCTGCATGTTTGCAGTCATGACATTGACGTACTGTTGGTCAAGACTGCAACCGAATCAGTTTTGGAGATCAGGTCGAACCAAACAAAACTCGTTCAGTGAGTTTATTGCGGCTTTGGCATTCTCCAAATTCCCATAACAAAGAATTTGCGTAAGTGGCGACAGAGCTGTTTTGGCTCAATGCCATACAGGTGTTTCGGTTGCTCGGGAGAGGCAGACACGTCAGGCCTTGGGAGAAGATGTGATATCCAGAACTGCTTATCAATTCTCTCCTCTTACTAATTGCAGGACATCGCAAGGTCCAATGATCTCGTGCCAACCTGCCTTTACCCTGAAATATTGTGGAGATATGGGTCTACTTCACCCCAATGCTGCTTGCTGCACGGCGCCAGAAGGTTTGGTATAGTAGAGAAGCATAAGAAGCCCTAGGAAATACCGTTTTGCAATGATCTCGCGATTGCCAAGTGTTTTGTTGAAAGCTTGCCCGCATGTCGCGCAACCCTTCAGCCGCAAGGTCTCATGAAGCACAGGAGCCCGAGCGGAAGGGAGGCAGAGGTGGGCAGCCTGGGCTGAATAGGTTTACCCCTTCGGGCACCAAGCTGCCTATGTTCCAGCATGTAGGGTGTAGGTCATCGCTACTAGGTTCCTTTAAGTATCTTAAAGTATATAACGTGCATTTAACATGTCTTAAAACCCACCTGCACCGAACAAGCTGAGGGGCGTGATTGGGTTGGGGCGCAAACACAATATATGGGCGAAGATAGAAGTAATATAAGAGAATGATGCCGCCTATTTAATTTAATAAGTTATGGCGGCATGAAAGAATAAAAAGAAGATATAGATGAAATTTCATAAGTCAAACACTGAGCTCCTAGAGCTTTGGCTCGGGGTGTAATTTAGGTGCAATGCTGCAGGGAAAATGGAAGGTGTTGGAACACTGTCATTCGGAGGTGGTGCGCCATATGATCTGGGAATATTATCTGGTGTAAGACATGAAGTGGTATGCTTGAAAGGGGTCGTTTGTTTGCCTTTCATGGTCCTGGTGATGCAAGTGAGACATCAATGAGAAGCATCCAATGGATGCATTGCATGGTACTTGTCGTCTCTAAGTCATCATGCATTGTAAAGATTATTGGTCTCTCACTCGTAACTTGTCGACCCCCTTGAAATGGGTGATTTTTCAGGGGGTCCAACTTATATTCAACAATGTCAATGTCTTCAAACGTCGTTTGTTTGCCTCCGTCTCGCCAGTACGGTGACCAGAGCTTCTGCTGAGCCTTCCACGAGCCATGCGGGACGAGTAGCAGCTTGGGCTCGTGCCAGTGACGCGAGGAGTGCATCAAGTCTCGTTTTAACTGTAGCGAGAGGAAAGGAAGGGAATCTTTTGCCTTGGCTTGGCGTACAAATTTGTAGAATTGCACATCAACTAAGAAAGTTCTTTTGGTGAGTGGTCACATGAAGTCTTTGATCGCTTTTGGAGGGACACGACCCACACACTGTACCGGCAGTGGACTCCAGACGACTTCGTCGCAGCGGGCCCCAGACCGAGCGTCGAGTAGCTGGTGTCACCGCGTGGAATGTGCAGATGGTCAAGGCGTGAAGATGTCAAGTGGATTGGGAATTCGTAGGATGTGGGGCACGTTTTACGAAGTTGAGAAACCGTCCATGTGCGACTCCGAATTGCTTTGCCGCAGAACCTGCAACAGTTCCCTGAGAATCCAAACTTCGCAAAAACTTGTGCTGCCATTTGTGTTCTAAAGGCTTCTCATGGGGCTGGATTTGGCAAGTCAAGCTCAATGACAAGATTCCAGTGGAACTATGACCTTAAGCCCGCCCCGACTCATGAGCACTGCATTTTGATGCTGGACAATTTAGGCTGAACGTTATTGTCAGAAGTTACGTTGAACAAGTTTGCTCCAAAACAATTGGACTTGTCCTTGACGCTGGCTGAATGTGCTCCAACATGCTCCAAGCATTTTAGCCACATAGCTAATCACAGCAGAAAAAGAAGACACGTCGTACAGATCTACGGAGATGTGCTAAAGAGCGCATCATGAAAGATTCGGAAACAAGCCTGTAGCTGGATGAAGATTTTCCGAAACAATTGAACACCATGAGCCAAGGACCAAGGGCAGTGATCGAAACCATGCAGCGAGGGGTTTTCAGGTCCCAGACTATGTGATTTGCTTTCCCGACCCTACCAGTGAAAATGGAACAGAACATACGCCAAAGGAGCCTTCGCACATCTGATGTCTTCTCGCGGTGATTCATCACCTGGCACGGCCAAAAGATGCAAAAAGGCAGCCAAGAGAAGATCTCAATGCATGATGAGCTCCAAATGAGGCACTCAGAAAAACTGCCTCCGTCGCTTCAAAACCGACGCCATGCGATGGACAGCGACTCTGAAAGCGGAAGCTCGTACCTTGGCCTGGACGCCTCGCATCGCCGAGGGTCGTCGGTACAAACGCGTTCGACGTTTGTTAGTTGGTTCGACGGATGCAGAACACGGAATGGATGCACCCGTGTGGAAAACTAGGATGTGTTTAAGATGGGTCGCTTGGTTCCCTGAACCACCTGAAGAACGGCATGTACTTTTTGGATACTTATTGACGTCTTCAAGCTTGTTCGATGCACGGAAGCGGTTCCGGCGACCGTGGACAGTGAGCTAGAGAGGTCCAGCTTTGTTTGTTGCGAGTCCTCCAGCATCGTTCACAGCTTTGTTTGTCTCCCTTCCCATCACCCTGTGAAGAGGGCCGCCCTCTCATTGGCTGGCAGAGAAGGGCATGAAAGCACAGGTGTTTCCAAATCCGTGCTGTGTCCCAGTCGCAGTCGCTGATTCCCGTTGGTGTCATTTTGTCGGACACGAACTGAGCCCAGCAAGTCTCTTTCGCCGCCAAACGGAAGCCATTTGGGCTTCAAGAAGATCCGGGAAGCGGTGACCTGTGACGACCTGCCCTGCCATGAGCTCCTCGCTGAATTGGACTGGCAAGTGGCCTAGATTGAGCAGAGTGGAGTCGAGTTTCTTGTTGGAACTGATCCAGAAGAGTGGGAGTCAAGTCATCCCAAAACGGATGGAGAGGAGTTCCCTGCTTCATTGTGTTCTCAACTTGAAAGTTTTTTCTGGAATTTGTTTAGATTTAGATTGAGGATTCAGGTTGTTTGGGGTCATTCGCACTTCGGGGAGAAAAGGAGTTTGATGTGGTGTAATGCAAGTCCATTCAATTCGCCCGATGAGACTGGTTGTATTTGGTATGCTTTGGGTTCCTTACTGATTCATTGGCAACGAGTGACCTGTTCAAACAGTGAATACTCGACTTCCAAGAACCATGGAGATCTGCCACCTGTCCAAAGCTGCGGATTCACGAGGATTTTCCATGAACTGGTCCAGAGAGCCCTGAGGACCCGGCCATCCCAAGAGAGTTCCCAAGTGACCTGAGGAGCCGGACCCTACTCACCATGTATCTATGGATGGGATACTCGAGATAGGGTCCTTCAACCTTTGGTCAGGTGACTTCTTTTTGGGATGACCGGGGATTGGACATCGGGACATCTCCTTGAAGAATGGAAATGTGTTTGGTCCTTGGGTTTTGACGACCGGCCTGAGGCAAAGTGAGCTGGCGGGCGAGTTGGTGTGGTTTAGTTGGGAAGGACATCCTCGGTGGCCTGGAGTAGTGGTCCCACCACAGGAGAACTTGAGAGGTGTTGGGTTGAACAGGGGTGATGGGTGATTGTACTTCTTTTCCTCCTTGAGTCTTGCCAGTTGGTGACTGAGCGTCGCTCGGGGCATTGTTCGGAGGTAGACTCGCTTTACGCCTCGGGCAGGAACCACCGTTGCCAGTGCTTTGGAGGTAGTTTAACTGGTGCTGTGCTTTCTCCATCTACGGAAGTACTTATCTCATCGGTCCATGACAAAGTCGAGTACAATGTTCATGAAAGCGTCCGTTGTTTCGCGTCCAGGAGCGTGACGAGCTTCTGAATGGTACTCGTGGTCACTTCTACCGCCCCGCGGAGAGCATCTTGAAGAAAGCATATGCTACTTCGCCAGGGGCTCAAGACTAAATCATCATAAGAAGGCTCTTGGCATGGGTCCAAATCATCAAAACGGTTTTTGCATGGACATATGAAGGCTTTGCCCAGTTGTACAGCACCATTTAAGTAATGGCCTGTTGGCACTCCTAGTGTTTGACATGGCCAGCGAGCTAGATTGGGTCGTTTTGGGCGATCAATGGTCTCCCTTTTCCAACTGGAGGCTAATCCAATCCACATGGCGGAAAAAAGCAAGAAAGATAGTCCGGCTTTCCCACGTTCGTTCATGTCATGATTTTACATCCTTTTACTAGTATCATGAGATCGGCGCATTCTTTTCATCACACTTTGCTTTGAGATCATTGAAAAGATCCGTGCAGATGAGGGAAGTTAAAGGATATTCAAGCCTGTTGATATCAGGGCTGTTATTGTGCCTAGAAAGACCGCCAGAAGGGCGAAACTGGTCTCAATCCGAGGTGCGAGACTACAAGAAGGGTTCCAAGATGCCGCAGGGTCCAGCGGCCGGGCAACAGAAGATGAGCACCAGGAAGGTCAGAGCCAAGTCCTTAGACTGACACACTTTGGTTGACTGCTCAGTGACCGTTTGGTGACCTGTTGATCATCGTGACCTAAATGTGATCTAGATGTGCATTATGATCATTGATGCCATGTATGATACCCGTTGATATATCGTGATCTATGATGGATAGGACAGGTTTCATTGACGTTTCATTCAGATACATGGTTTGCAGACATCCTTGAAGCCCTTGTGATGGATCCATGAAGCCCGTCATTTCGTTCGGGCAGCTGACCGTGCCTCCCCTAATTGTTGCTCACGTGAACGCTTGTGCTGTGTCCATTGGATTGATCCACTCCATAGGGCTTGGACACACTGGACACACCATCAAATGGAAGGCGTCCAACAAACACCGAGGAAAACAACGGATTCACTCTCCCAAGAGCTTGAGAAACAGGAAGAAAACACGGCCAACACATGAAGCGTTCAGAGTCTCAAGCGGGCATCTTGTTGTGCATGAGGTAGATGATCCGTTCCAAAAGCGCTATGTTCTGATCTACAGCCTTGGTGATGAGATGTACAAGTGGGCTAGCCCTACAAGCATCTTCCACTCCTTCGAAGAATGGACAGAGGAGACGTACTCCTACCCGCCAGGCCGGGGATGTGTTTCTGTTTATCACAGGGCTTAGCGAAAGATTACTAAGGGATTTTGCAATATCCGTGTCACAAAAAATGAGACGGTTTTCGATGTAGATCCAAGAACATTTGTACAGCTTGGCGTTGGTCTAGGAGCCATCGAGGTGCGATTTGCCCGCAAAGGGCTTCCTGCCTCCCACCTCTTGATAAACAAAATGTCGCTTCTGGGGTCGAGGAACATCAACCTGGCCTTCAAAGAAGACTTTCTGCACCTCAGTTGTTCTATAGATGTGAAAATAGCGCTACAGGATTTGCCGCTGTCAGTGTCCGTGCGCCTGGCGCATAGGCTGGGGACGAGAGGAGAAGACCTTTGAAGTACATTTGCGCAACTACAAAGGCCACCGTTTCAACGGCGCACGGGCATGGAAGGAGGCCAAAGACACTTGTCTGGTGAACTATTATGAGCGTCCGTCGGCCACAACAAATGAAAGCTATACAAATGGATGTAGTGATCACTTATCTTGCAGTGCAATGTACCACCGTACTTCATAGAATCGTTTTTTTGGGGGCTAAGATGAGCAGTGCTTTCAAGTAGAGGCTTCAGTCATTTTGCGAGCACATGCCGTTTCCCACATGTACATTGCTTTTTGGTGGTGAGCTACCAAGCGAGGAGTGGGAAGGTCTTCAAGAGGAAGAAGCCGAGGAGCACCAGAGTCTTTGCTGCACTGTTGCGCTGCTTGTTTTGAGTTGACATTCACAAACAAGCTTTGGAACAGCAGTTGAGCTGCACGCGGCGTGGAAGGAATACAAACTTGCAAGCAACTGTGGCGTTGGAAACCAAGCTCGGCCCAAACGCCGCTCAGGAGACACGAGGCCGCACAGGCGCAATACAACGCGCACCATGGAATTGGAGGCGCAGCAAGCGTAGCACCACCGATGCCCAAGAGGGAAAGGAGCCCGAGACCGCAGCACGCTCCGTTTCGCCCCTTGGAGTGACTGAGGTGGAAGGAAGGCCTTGTGGTGTTTGAGTCGTTTTGGTGTTTGACTTGATTTGGTATTGGCGTCAGAGGCAAACGGAAGGGTAGTGCACAGAAAGGGTTTTGCAAAAACCTATTCTACTAACATCGTGGAAGGCTATTCGTGGACAGTTCGTGGAATGGTGGGCCAGTAGGAGAACTGACTGCAACGAAATTCCAGAAACCTTCGCAGAACTTCGTGGAAGGTATTTTTGATGCACTAACTTCGTATAAGCGATTTTTTGCTGACCCCCTTTCTCCACACACCCTCCATTTAGCCTTCAAGACAACTTGGCGTCAGAGAAAAACATTCACAGGCAGCTGAAAAAGGTGTTCCTGGAGTGGTTTGAAAATGGGGCCCCTGGTACGCAGAGTCAATGATGTTTGGAAACATCCCTTGGCCAGCAACATTGCACAGTTCTGCGGGTGAACGTGTTGCAGGTCACGCTTTCCATGTTGGAGGCATAGCAGGCGTAGCAACGCCACTGCGCAAGAGGGAAAGGAGCCCCGACACAAGGGGG